TTGGACAAGCAAAAATAGATACCTTCCAGAGTAAAAAGGAAATGATTTTTATCCTACATAATAAAGAGGTAATATGCAAATTGACCATCACACTGTCACAAGATGGCGGCACCCACAGCAGGGCTGGGGCCGGCTGCTCCGCACGCCTGCTGCCATAGTCCCCTCAGCCCTGCTGGGGGTCTCGGGTCCTACTGTAATCCCCACTGACTGACAACTCACCCAGGCTCCTCCAACGAGCTGCCCATCCCACTCTTCCTCCCCCGAAGTTGAAGCCTGACTGTGGTGTCCAACAAATTGGAAGTTATAACTCATGTCATTGAGAGTATCCTCCATTCCTCAGCCGGGGCCGGCTGCTCTGCATGCCTGCTACCGGAGTCTCCTCAGCCCCACCAGGGGCTTCGGGTCCTCCTGTACCCCCCGCTGCCTGAGGCTCAGGCAAGCCACGGATGGAGGCGGCCGCTGCCCAGGGCCAGCCCAAGGTGTAGGCAAGCCTCAGATGGTGGCTGACCAGCCACCCGGGGCCAGCCCAAGGCTCAGGTAACCAGGGCTGGCCAAGGCTTGCACTGCCAGCAGTGGCAGCAGCAGAGATATGATGGAGGCATCGCCTTCCCCTGATTGCTGGGTTGCCTCCTGCCCCTGAAGGTTCCTGGACTGTGAGAGGGGGCAGGCCAGGCTGAGGGACCTCCCCCTCCAGTGCATGAATTTCCATGCACCAGGCCTCTAGTATATAATAATTACAAAAATTTTATTGAAATTTGATCATGATACTAAGCCAGGTAGATTGCATTTTCTCCCGTAACGTACTGCAATAATCTTCATAGAGGTCTGTCCTAGGACATTCTCTGGTTCCACCCCATATTTAGGTTTTCATGGGGGAACTTGCTGTAGGTTGATGTTTTTCCTTATAGCCCTGGAGCTATAGGGTCAAGTATGGGTGGCAAGTGCAGAAAAAAATGAAACTGTAAAAATGTGATTGTAATGACCCTTAAAGCTATTATATAATACTAGAGGCCCAGTGCACGAATTCGTGCACAGGTGGGGTTTCTCGGCCCTTCGGGGCCATTTGGCCAGTCCCGATTGGGGCCGATGAGGGCTGGCCGGCCAGTGAGGGACTGTGGGAGGGCTCTAGGGTGTGTCTGGCCCTCTCGCCCAGTCCTGATCAGCCGGACCCCAGCAGCAAGCTAACCTACTGGTCAGAGCATCTGCTCCCTGGTGGTTAGTGAGTGTCATAGCAACTGGTCGAGTGGTTGACCAAACAGTCAACCAATCAGTCAGACACTTAGCATATTATGCTTTTACTAGAGTCCCGGTGCATGAAATTTGTGCACTGGGGGGTGGGGGTCCCTCAGCCCAGCCTGCACCCTCTCCAATCTGGAACCCCTCGGGGGATGTCTGATTGCCAGTTTAGGCCCGATCCCAGAGATTGGGCCTAAATCGGCAGTCGGACATCCCTCTCACAATCCAGGACTGCTGGCTCTCAACTGCTGGCCTGCCTGCCTGCCTGATTGCCCCTGTTTCTGCCTGCCAGCCTGATCACCCACTAACCACTCCCCTGCTGGCCTGATTGATGCCTAACTGCTCCCCTGCCAGCTTGATCGCCCCCACTGCCCTCCCCTGCTGACCTGTTCACCCCCAACTGCCCTCCCCTGCTGGCCTGATTGCTCACAACTGCCCTCCCCTGCCGGCCATCTTGTGGTGGCCATCTTGTGACGACATGAGCATGGCCATCTTGTGACCACATGGGGGTGGCCATCTTGTGCGAGGGCATGATGGTCAATTTGCATATTACCTCTTTATAGGATTATATAGGATTATACTGGCTAGGAAGAGTACAGTAAAAAAGATTTTCATACACCCCTCAAATGTCATTGAACTCTTATTAGGTAGATATTTGTGAAATAATGACACTGGCAATAATGGTTTATTTTTTATTCTATAATCATTTTGACCACTGCAAGGGTAATATGCCTTGGGGAAAACATTAGCATTTGGCTAATAGGTTTTAATAGATGCAGAATCAATAAAAGTGAAGGCTTTTTTTTTTCTTCCTGTCAATTCAATAGACAAAGTCAAATTTGTAGTGGTTAATTATGCCAGGTTATTTTGTTTGTTTGCTTTGTCTCCAGGTAGTAAAGAAGAGTTCATTTTGCCCTTAAATTGATAGATCAAGGTGGCCTATAGCTGGAGTGGGGAGGAGGAGGGGTTGATGCGTTTGAGAGACATTTCAGAAATAGAATAGTGAGTTGGATGTGGGAAATGACGGTAAGGAGCCAAAGCCATGGCTGAGATGTGGCTTCTTTTCATTTATTATTCACAAATTACAATTTTTGTTGTCATCTGACTGAGATTGAAAAGCAAAATTTCTACGCATTAAAAATAGCATGTTTGGGGTTTGATTCAGTTGGGTTCTGGTTGAGATTTGATTATTTACCTTTATGTATGGGTAGGATTTCAGTTTATTATCTATGTTGCTCTTATAAAAAAATAAAATAAAGAGATTTAGAGAGACTTTAAATGAAATTTTCCAGGCTAGCCTGAGCCTTATTCCACTACCTAACCCAAGTCTTCAGTTCTGAAAGTTTTTCCTGTAGGGACCTCTGCTGCCCACCATTCCCCCAGTTCATTGTACTTCTTTCTCCAATGTCTGAGCCACACCCAACCCCTTTCCTAGGCTGGCAGAGTCTACATTTTTTTATAAGTTCACTTCCCATTCTTCTTTGAGCTTTTTATGTTATAGAGCCCCTTACTTCCAGTTCTACTCCATTTATTCTTTGTGGTCTGTTTCTCTGGGACTTTCCTGCTTAACACTGCATTTCCATAGTAGTAAAAGTTATAATAAAATAGAAAAGGGAAGCCCTAGCTGGTTTGGCTCAGTAGGTAGAGCATTGGCCTGCTGGACTGAAGGGTCCCAGGTTCGATTCCAGTTAAGGGAACATGCCTGGGTTGCAGGCTCAATCCCCAGTAGGGGACGTGCAGGAGGCAGCCAGTCAATGATTCTCTCTCATCATTGATGTTTCTATCTCCCTTCCTCTTTGAAATCAATAAAAAAATATTTTTAAAAATAGAAAAAGGCATACTATTCATGTAGTTCAAGTAGAAAATACAGATATCTGTGCTTCTCTAAGACCTACTGCCTCATAATTAAGTGGAACATCTAGAAATTAGATATTTCTTTATTATTATACTATGTTGAACTATAATGCAAATTTTAAGCTTAAAAATTTTGAAGGCAAATTTTTTAAGTAGTAATTGACCTTATTTTCTACATATTATAGTCAGAACATGCATTTCCTACCACCCCATGAAATACTTGTGTGATATTCCAAGTGAAAGCCTTCATAGAAGGACTCTCAAATGAGTACTAAATAGAACTTTGAGCCATAAGGTAGTTGCCTTTTGTATCTTCTGAAGGGAAACCCCAATTTAGCCAATACAGAATAGTTCAGCTGAAGGTCTTGAACTGCATTTGTGGATCTCAGAGACACTCCTCCTGATAGAGATGTTTCCCAAAGTCTTTATTTCCAGTTTGGTGCCCTGGGCATTTCTGAATGATGTGTATGTACATAGCAGGGACAAGTACTTTTAGGTGTATGCTAGTAGCAATTATGTCAAGGAAAACACTCCAAATTTAGGAACTGTCAATCTCTAGAATAACAGTGGATTAGGGGATGCCAAAAGAAGCAGGCATTCTGGGACAAGAGTCACCAACAGGCTCTTTTCCCCTGAATTTAATGGCAGATCTCAGTCTGTGTCCAACCAGATCAGTTGGAGGATTATTGGTTTTTGCTCTTCCTTTAGGGGCTTATACAAAATCTGGCCATTGGTTTGTTTCCCTAAAACATACCAGATAGCTGTCACATTAAACATTATGCGTCACAGCACTGAGCTTTCAGGGTAGATATATAGGCTCACAGCCACAGATATTCGTATAGATCGTTTTTGTGCAGTAGTCCCCCAAACTCCCTGTACACTTGGGCTTTCACTGTGGGGGGGAAACGAACATCAGAGTAAATGCAAATGCAAGGCCTGATCAGGTTCCTTCCCAACAGCAAAGTAAGGGGCCTGTAATAATATACTGTTTAATTTCCTTTGGAGAAACTGGACTATTGACAGATGAACCTCTTTTCCCTTGCACTCATATTTCTTTAACAGAGTTGTGGTTGGGAAATGATCCAGGATTCATAAGGTCAAGTAGTGACCTGGTTCACATACCGTAGACTCCTCTCATCTATCTCCACAGCATCTCCAAGCAGGTGGTCTCCAAGCTGTTGGTATGTCCACACCAAAAGAGGTCACCCAGAGGACACATGAACTTCTTGAGTTTGGCCCTCTGTGGTTCTAATAGGCCTGTGAAACTCAAGTCTCAATTCCGGATAGGCAGCACTATGCAGTCTGAAGTCATTATAATGTACTTGGTAAATGGACATCATGTTATAAGGTACAGGGAATTAAAGCTGTTGGAAGATCAAAGAAATAATAATACATTGGATTTTTGTAATACCTTTCTTCATGAGAAAATACACTTTCCTAGACTACCCAATTGTATTCTTTCTTTCATTATCCCAAGAGTAAAAGAATAAAGGAATGTTCATAAATATTCTTAGCCTTATCTTTGAAAGTTAAAAAAATTATTTTAAAAAAGTATCATAAGAACTATTTTCTCCTCCCTACTCCCCTGGTTTCCTGCTGCATAAGTGAAGACGTTTTTCTCTGTCTGAAACTCAGCCTTTGGATTCTGTAATCATTTTTACAAAAGATTTTTGTTATTATCGAAATACTTATGGATCGACATTGAAGATAATCTTAATAGACAAATAACAAGTACCTTGGTGATACCTGCTCATTTTACACTCATTTCTGGGAAGGCCCACTTCAACACACCTGAGAACAATGTTGCTTTGTAATAACTTACACACAGTGCTCACCAGTTTCTCCTTGATTAAGAAAGTAGAGTGCTATTGTGACCTTTTGACGCACTCTCCCCTTCTTGTATTTTTCAGAAATTGAGGCAAAGGAAGCATGTGACTGGCTCCGTGCTGCTGGGTTCCCACAATACGCTCAGTTATATGAGGGTAAGTTGGCCTTCCCTTCACCCTTTATAAAGAGAATAAATGCAAAATAAACTGCATTTATGCTGTGCTATGTTTTGACTTCTAAGTCTTTTCTTACCCTTTTTTTTTCTTTCCTGTCTCTTTCCCTCGGCTTTGCGATGGCAAGGGCTTATACTGATGCCAATTTGGGAATAAGTATTGTTTCCCAAGACTATTTTTCTTTCTGTTCTACACTTTCTGCTCATCTCTTTACCATCATTCCCGACTCTACCTTTTCCTTCAGTGTTCTGCCAGGGCAGCTCTTCTTCACTTCCTTTTTTGTTCTTTTTCTGTTTTTCTTCTTCATTACTCTTAGTTTTCTTGAAAGTACAATAAATTAGTTGTTGAAAATTTTTCTAGAAATAACAAAACTAATTGTCTTGAGGCTTATCTTCAGTTCTGCTTACTTTATATGAACATTTTTAAGGTATATGTGATTTTGGGGGGTTTTAAGTAAAGTACTTTTATTGCTAGTGTAATACTTCCTTTCATTTATGTTTTAATAGTTAATAAACTTATTCACCTATATTTTACTTATCCCTTAATTATAAACAAGGCTTCAAATTACTTGTGTAGTTCTTAGGATCCCAACAGTAAGCAGATGGCACACTCAAGATAATCTGTGGAGGATTTACTTACCATTCATTACAACAGTCCATTGCAGGCTATAGGAAACAATATCAGCTTCTCTTCCTGATGGCATAAAATTTATGTGAAACAGACTGACGAATCTCAGAATGAAGTTGGGGACAGGAAGAGATTAACCAAATAACTTATATGTATATATGCATAACCCTTGGGCCCAGACAATGGTATAGTGAAGGCCTGGGAGAGGGTCCCATGGGGGTAAAAAGGGGACATCTGAAATACTTTCAATAATGAAGATAAATTTAAAAAATTTATGTAGGTTAGAAAGAATCAACAAAATTAACCTGTACTCATGGTGAATCTCATTCACTCATGCAGAAGCTCTGTTTTATAATTTAAAATAACGAAACAAAACAAAGATTACTTATTCTACTTCTCTTGTTTAAATTCTGTGAAGATAAAGGAGAGCATATCTATGAGTGTGCTTTGAAGTCTAGAAGCTCTGATAATTTTTTTTTATAGAATTATAGCCTTTTAGGCAAGGAAGGGTCTTATCATTTTGGCCTTATCAACCTTCACTCCCACGCACCACTCCCAATTCACTGATTATGAACGACAGGCCCAAAAAGTTGTGACTGTTCCAAGGTTTAAAGGTAGAAGAGTCAGAATTAAAATCACAGTCTCTTGAGCTTTAATATTTTCTGCTATAGCATATATTCTCTTTGTAATCTCAAAATACTATGTGACTTAAATGTGAAGTGTATAAATGGCTAAAAAGTAAAGATGTATAAAATGTATCTGTCAGATTGTGTTTTAGCCATATCTATATCTATCTATCTATCTATCTATCTATCTATCTATCTATCTATCATCTGTATATATATACATATAGATATATATCTACAATAATAAAAGAGAAACATGGTAATTGGCGTACGACCGCTACCCTTTTCATTGGCTAATCAGAGAAATATGCAAATTAACTGTCAGCCAAGATGGCGGCCGGCAGCCAGGCAGCTTGAAACTAACATGAGGCAGTGACGGAGGAAACCAACGTTCCCCACCTGCAGCTGCAGGCCTCTGAGCGGGCAGTTTAAGAAACTCTGTAACAAATACCACCGGACTTCAGCCAGCAGATTCGCAACATTGTAAGCAAAGGCCAGAAACCTACTTTCAGCCCAGGCCTAAGAGCTGGAGCCAAGCCTCAAAGCTAAAGCTGGCCCAGAATAAAAAAAGAAAAAAGAAAAAAAGGAGCAGTTGGGAGCTTCAGTCACCCCCAGCCTGAAAACAGCCCTCAGCCCCTCACCCAGACTGGCCAGGCACCCCAGTGGGGACCCCCACCTTGAAGGGTGTGTGACCAGCTGCAAACAGCCATCATCCCCTCACCCAGACTGGCCAGGAACCCCAGTGGGGACCCCCACCCTGAAGGGTGTATGATCAGCTGCAAACAGCCATCATCCCCTTACCCAGGTTGGCCAGGCACCCCAGTGGGGACCCCCACCCTGAAGGGTGTGTGACCAGCTGCAAACAGCCATCACCCCCTCACCCAGGCTGGCCAGGAACCCCAGTGGGGACCCCCACCCTGATCCAGGACACCCTTCAGGGCAAACCAGCCGGCCCCACCCTTGCACCAGGCCTCTACCCTATGTAGTAAAAGGGTAATAGGCCTCCCGGCACCGGGATAAGCATGACAGGGGGCAGCGCCCAAACCCCCTGATCGCCCTGCGGCTCTGTGTGTGACAGGGGGTGGGGCCACGGCCTCCCTATCCACCCTGCTCTGTTCGTGACAGGGGAAGGCGTCCCAACCCCCTGATCAGCCCTGCTCTGTGCCTGATAGGGGGGAGCTCCCTAACCCCCTCCCCCACGGGCCCTGCTCTGTGTGTGACGGGGTAGAGCCATAACCTCCCCATTGGCCCTGCCCCGAGTGTGACAGTGGCAGCGCCCCAACCCCCTGATCGGCCCTGCTCTGTGGGTGATAGAGGGCGATGCCCCAACCCCCTGATGGGCCCTGCTCTGTGTGTGACAGGGGGAGCGCCCCAACCCCCTGATTGGCCCTGCTCTGTGCGTGACAGGGTACAGAGCCCCAACCCCCCTGATTGGCGCTGCTCTGTGCGTGACCGAGGGTGGCGCCGCAACCTCCCCATCGACCCTACCTTGAGTGTGACGGGATGGTGCCCCAACTCCCCAATCGGCCCTACCCTGATCGTGACTGAGGGTGGCATCACAACCTCCCAATCTCCCTGCTCTGTGCATGACAGGGGGTGGTGCCCCAACTCCCCAATCGGCCCTGCTCTGAACCCAACCAGGGGCTGCACCTAGGGATTGGGCCTGCCCTCTGCCACCCTGGAGCAGGCCTAAGCCAGCAAGTCGTTATCCCCTGAGGGGTCCCAGACTGCGAGAGGGCACAGGCCGGGCTGAGGGCCCCCCCCTCCCCGCTGAGTGCACAAATTTTTGTGCACCGGGCCTCTAGTATATATATAAAAGCTAGTATGCTAAGTGTCTGACCATCTGACCAATCGCTATGATGTGCACTGACCACTAGGGGCGCAGATGCTCAATGCAGGAGCTTTCGTGATGCACATTACAGAGAAATGGCACCACGGACCTGGTACCCACAAAGCAACACTCAGCTTCCCCCAAGTGGGACATAGGCCCTGGAGCAACAGCCCACCAAATATCAACTAATGCTGCTGAGACCCCATGGCACAAAATGTGGCCCACAACCCAACACAGCCCAGAAACGGTGGCTGTGGGCGCCAGGTAATGATGTCACGTAGTAATGCCTGGCTTCCTCTCCTTAGCGACTAGCCTCCTTGGAGTTTCTTCAGCCCAGGAACACGACTTGCTTTATAGCCAGGTGGAAACATTTTACACTTTAACCAAATGTCTGTGAAGCATTTCCCCCTGCCTCATCTCATTTGATCCTCACAGAAGTCCTGGAGTAGGTAGATAGGAGACTTGGTGGAATCCTATTTTCTTTTCAATAGGAAAACAGAGATTTAGAAAGCTTAGAAACTTGACCCTACTGAAAAGAAGTAAGGAATGGTGGACCTTGAAAATGACTTCAGTTTTTCTCACTGCTCAGAAAATAGTCAAACACTGCTGCAGTTAAATATTTTACCCTTTGTTCTCCCTGCGTGATTTACAATATTAATCTTCTTTGTGTTGATATTTACTGCTGTGTTGCTGACAATTACCTGAAAGAGATGTTGGGGTGCTTCACTGGGTTGGAAAAAGTTTAGCTAAATCAGAAAGCAGGTCTAATTAAGCAAGTTTATATATATAAAGCTCTCACTGGCGCCAATCGCACACATGTGTTTTGATCTGTCATTATCAATCGTGAATTTGGTTGACACTTCTATTATAGGGAAAGGGTGAATAGTGATATTAAAATATTTTTTGTAATTAATTTCCTTTCAGTGTGCACGAATTCGTGCACTGGGCCACTAGTTCACTGAATGAATGTAATAAAGATAATAGCAAACACTAGGTAGAACACTCAATGTGCCAGGTACTATTCAAAGCACTTTATATAACTACTAGAAGCCCGGTGCACAAATTCGTGCACAGGTTGGGTCCCTTGGCCTGGCCGGCAATCGACCATCTCGCCCAGTCCCGATTGGGGCCAATTGGGGCTGGCCAGCTCGGGGAGGGACCACGGGATGTTGGCTGGCCAGGAGGAGGGACCGCAGGAGGTTGGCTGGCTGTGGGAGGTTGGCTGTGTGAGTGCACTGACCACCAGGGGGTAGCTCCTGCATTGAGTGTCTGCCCCCTGGTGGTCAGTGCGCATCATAATGACTGGTCTTTTGGTCAACCAGTTGTTTGGTTGATGGGTAGTAACAGTTGCTTAGGCTTTTATATATATAGACTCATTTAATATTCACCACAAACCTCATGCCCATTTTACAGATGAAGGAACAGGCCCAGAAGTGGTTAAGTACCTTGAACCCAGTTCTACAAGTAGAGAATAGCAGATCCAGGACTGAAAGCCAGAGCACACACTGCACACACACCCTCCCTCGCAGAACAAGACTGCCTTCATTCTGGCACCACCTAGAATTCACTCATTACTTTTTTTCACCAGAAGAGGAATTGTTTCTGTTTCCAAATTGTATTAATATTTACATACCCCTAGCCATATATTATGATTGGCAAGAAGCAGTACAAAATATGAAATGAGGAAGAGAAAGAATGGCAGGATAATGATAATGAACTGATATTGTCTGTGACATTTGCCTAAGGCCTCTATTACAATGATCTCCAGATTTTTACTCTGAATGAGGTACCTAAAATTAACACAGTGTCTTAAATATTGCCTTTGACCTCCAACACTGGCATAAATAGACTGTGGAGAAAAGTGATGATGGTGGAATTCCTTTTCTCTTTGGATAAAATTAGTTGTTTGAATATTTTGCTTATGCGCTAAAGTGATTCAAGATTTTGCTACAAAAGAAAAATTTGAGGCCATTGAGTTTCAGGTGTTTTGGGAAATGTCCTTTCTGAAGGAAAAAACAACATAAACCAACCATTCATGAACTGGTCAGGATATAAGTGAGAGCCTTAGGTGAATGAGGAAAGTGTAAAAGCTCTTCTCCTTATAGGCAAATGTTTTGATAATGATGAGCTATAAAAATGCAGACATTTAGTATTCAGTTCTATCCAAAGTCAAGTACTTGGTTTTTCTCATATTTCATTATCTCTTTTTTGTATCCTTAAAAGCTTTATTGTGATGAAAATAAAACTGCTTTCTATCTTAAACAGTACCAGCATACTCTCCATCAATGGAGAGTAACTGCTGTTACGATCATTCCTATGTATAAAAACATGGTGGCCTGAAGATGTGTGTCTATTCAGATAAAAAAGGGAACATAAATACTTTTGTTTCCCTCTTTATCTCTTTCAGATTCACAGTTTCCCATTGACATTTTGGCTGTTAAGAATGATCATGAGTTTCTTGAAAAGGACCTTGTAGAACCTCTTTACAGGTAAATCATGTGAAATACCTTTGTTTCTTTCAATTGTTTCCAATAGGCATCACTATATTGAGGAGTGAGTTCAGTAGTTCAGTAACTTCATTGAGTGCCAGGCATGGGTCCAGGTTCTAAGTGTACACTATGGTGAGCATGATCAAGCCTGGTTTCATGGAGCTTAAATCTTAGTAGGAGGCTTCAGAAAATAGACTAGAAAAGGAAAGAGAGAGTGAGAGAAAAAGAGAGGGAGACAGAGAGGTTATCTCAGAGAATGGGCAATGCTATGAAAAAAGTAAAACAAGATGAGGCTAGAGACAGTGGTTGGGGTCGTGGGTGGGTTAGTGGGAGGAAGCAGCATGTGTGGTCAAGGAAGGCCCTGAAAATCTCCAGGAGTATGTCAAATTTGCCTGTATTTTTTGCAAGTCAAGTGATTATATCAGAAAACTGGAATATGTAAGCTCAAGTAATTATACTGGCAACCTGGAATATTTAAGCCTATGTGATAGATGCTATAAAAAGACCAAGATGTATATATAAGTAATTCCCTCCCCTCAAAGAATTTATAATCTGTCTGGAGAAATCTAGTTGAAGATATAAAGCATGAACACATGAAAAAATAAGTAATTAAAATTTAGATAATAGTAAAATGCCAATGTAATCAATATCTCTGAATAATTAAGAGCTACATAATAATTTGTATGTGTCTGGGAATTTGAAATTTCCTATGGAAAAGTCCTGGAGAGGCCAGGGCTGGAAATAAATATTAGTTACAGGAGACAAGTCATTTTTCCAAGGGCACACAGCTAGTAATGGGATGAACTGACCTTAATATGTTATAGTCCTTGTAAGTTATAATCCATTGGTCTTTCTAGTACATTCTGCATTTGACATAGAAAAGATGGTAGTTTCATAGGAAAATAATGATGAGCAAAACTTTTGTGACAATAAGAGAAACAAATGTATGTTAGGATGATGTGTAAATAACGTTAGGTTTGTTGAATCTTCAGATATGTATAGTTTTGTGTTGACAAGCTGGTCACTCTATGGTTCCTATTGAAAATAGATTTATATTAAGAAATGATCTCTGAATGTTCAAAGCAAACACTACTGTGGGTTTGCTTAAGGGAGTAGAAGGGCAAAGAACTCTTCAAATGAAAGGAACAGACTATTTGGATTAGAAAACAAACAAGCACAGAATGCCACTTGTAAGCATTTATGAGAGGAATAGATGGTTTGGTTATGATTGTTTAAAGGTAATGATTTGGAAAAGCCACATTTTCTCTTCAGGATGTCTGAGACACACTCCAAGCAGGAGCAGCTCCCTCCTCAAAAGCATTCATCGGATTCAGAACTATACAAACAGCACCTCATCCTGAGTTTCCCCTCTTAGTTTTAATCAGAAGTATTTTTACTAGTTGACTTTTTAAAGTAAATCATTTTTACATTTTAATTGTATTATGTTATTTTTCCCCATTGAATTTTTTAAATTTATGTTTTCTTTACAGTGAGGTGACATAGCTAGTAAAATTAACTATTTTCAATGCAATGTAGTTTTTTGAGTTTTTACAAATGCCTGAAGCTATCTAACCACTTCCACAACCTAGATATAGAACAACTCCTTCCCCCCAAAAAAATTCCCTGGATCTCTCTTATCATCAAACTCTACCCCTGCTCCCAACCCCTGCCAACCACTGATCTTTTTTTTGCACCTATGGTTTTGCCTTTCCCAGAATGCCATATAAATGAAATTAAGACTTTTGAGTCTAGCTTCTTTTACTTAGTACAATGTAGTTAAGATTAATCCATGTTGTTGTGTGTATCCATCCATATAATTTCTGGGTAAGTATTCCATTGTATTCCACTGCAGTTTGTCTATCCATTCACCAATTGAAAGACAGTTGAGTTGTAGCCAGTTTAAGTGGGTTTATGAGGTTATAAAGTCACTATAAGCATACATATTGAAGTTTTTGTGTGAGCATAAGTTCTTTTGGGTAAAATTCTAGGAATGGGATTGAGGGGGTTCATATGATAAGTGTATTTTAAAGAATACACTTTATAAGAAATCACCAACTTTTCCAAAGTGACCATACCATTTTGTATTTTCACCAACAATAAATGAGAGTTTCAGTTTCTCCACACTTGTCAGCACTTGGTATCGTCATGGTTTTCATTTGTGTGTGTGTGTGTGTGGCCATTCTAATTGGCATCTGGGGTTATTTCATTGTGATTTTAATTTTCATTTCACTAATGAGTGATGATGTTAAACATCCTTTCATGATTTTATTTGCCATTTACTTATCTTCTTTGATAAAGTGTCTGTTCAACTCTTCTGTTCATCTTTACAATTTGGATATTTGTTTTCTTACATCAAGTTTTGAGGGTTCTTTATATGTTCTAGATGTAAGTTACGTGTCAGATATGTAGTTTGTAAATATTTCCTGCTAGTCTGTAGCTTGCCTTTTCAATCTCTTAACAGTCTTTCACAGAAGAGAAGTTTTTAATTTTGCTCAAGTCCAATTTATTGTGTTTTTTTCATATTTTTAATGTAATATATAAGAAAACTTTGTCACACATAAGGTCACAATTATTTTCTCCTTTGTTTTCTTCTAGAAATTTCAGTTTTATGTTTTATATTTAAGTCAATGGTCTATTTCATCTAAGTCAATGGTTAATTTCCTTATAAGGTACAAAGTGTAGGTCAAGATTCATTTTTGGCATATAAATATCCCATTAATTGAGCACCTTTTTGAAAAGATTATACTTTCTTTATTGAATTGTCCGTATTATAAATCAGTTGACCATATATCTCTGAGTCTATTTCTGGACTCCCTTTTCTGTTCCATTTATCTATGTTCTATCCTTTCATCAATATAACACTTGATTGCTTAGCTTTTAGTATGTCTGAAAATCTAAGAGATGAATCCTCCAGAATTGTTTTTTTGGCAGGATTGTTTTAACTATTCTAGTTCCGCTGCCTTCCCATATAAATTTTGGAAACAGCTGTAAATATATGTTTTTTAAAATTCTACTGGAGTATTGATTTGGATTGTGTTGAACAGATAAATCAGTTTGGGGGGAATTGGTATCTATTTATTTAGGTCCCCTTTAATTTTTCTAATCCCGTTTTCATAGTTTTCAGCCTATGAATACTACATTTGAAAGTACTTAACTATTTTATGTTTTGTATTTAAGTAGTACTGTTTTTTATCATTTTAATTTTCAGTTGTTCATTACTAGTATATAAAAATGTTTGTACATTGTCTGTGTATCCTACAGTCCTAAGCTCACTCTAGTGATAGATTTTTCTTATTATTGTCTTAAGTTTTACATATGTCTCCTTTTTCCCCAAATGATGTGCCCCCCAACTGTTCCCACCCCAGGCAAGCCTTCACTGCCCCAGTGCCTGTGTCCATTGGTTATGCTAATATGTATGCATAAGTCCTTTGGTTGCTCTCCAACACCCACCTCCCCTGCCATTTGTCTCTGGATCTATTTTTGTTGATCAAATTATGTTGATCATTATAGCCCACATATGAGTGAGATCATGTGGTATTTATCTTTCTCCGACTGGCTTATTTCACTTAGCATAATGCTCTCCAATTCCATCCATGCTGTTGCAATTGGTAAAAGTTCCTTTTTTTTTTTATAGCGGCATAGTATTCCATTGGGTAGATATACCACAGTTTTTTAATCCACTCATCTACTGATGGGCAATTAGGTTGTTTCCAAATCTTAGTTATTGTAAATTGTGCTACTATGAACATAGGGGTGCATATATCCTTTCTGATTGGTGTTTCTGGTTTCTTATGATATAGTCCTAGAAGTGAGAATACTGGATCAAATGGTAGTTCCATTTTTAACTTTTTGAGGAAACTTCACACTGTCTTCCACAGTGGCTGCACCAGTCTGCATTCCCACTAGCAGTGCATGAGGGTTTGTTTTTCTCCACATCCTCGCCAGCACTTGTCGTTTGTTGATTTGTTGATGATAGCCATTCTGACAGGTTTAAGATGGTACCTCATTGTTGTTTTGATTTGCATCTCTCGGATGATTAGTGACTCTGAGCATGTTTTCATATGTCTCTTGACCTCCTGTGTGTCCTCTTTCGAAAAGTATCTACATAGGTCCTTTGCCCATTTTTTGATTGGATTGTTTATCTTCCTTTTGTTGAGTTGTATGAGTTCCCTGTAAATTTTGGAGATTAAACCCTTATCTGAAATAGCATTGGCAAATATGTTCTCCCATGCAGTGGGCTTTCTTGTTGTTTTGCTGCTGGTTTCTTTTGCTGTGCAGAAGCTTTTTATTTTGATGTAGTCCCATTTGTTTATTTTCTCCTTAGTCTCCATTGCCCTAGGAGCTGTGTCTATAAAGATATTGCTATAGCATATGTCTGCTTGCTATTTTGCTGCCTATGAAGTCTTGTAGGGTTTTTATGGTTTCCCATCTTACATTTAAGTCCTTTAGCCATTTTGAGTTTGTTTTTGAGTATGGTGTAAGTTGGTGATCTAGTTTGTTTGTTTGTTTGTTTATTTATTTATTTATTGCATGTATCTAACCAAATTTCCCAGCACCACTTATTGAAGAGACTGTCTTGACTCCATTGTATGCTCTTGCCTCCTTTGTCAAATATTAATTGAGCATAATGGCTTTGGTCAATTTCTGGGTTCCTCTGTTGTGTTCCATTGGTCTATATGTCTGTTCTTGTGCCAGTACCAGGCAGTTTTGAGAACCGTGGCTTGGTAATATAGCTTTATATCAGTGATAGATTTCTAAAATTTCACTTTTAAAGTATAAATGAAGGATTACATTTTAAACCAAGAATAAAAATTCTATTCCATATTTTTAAATCAGAATTGCAGGGGCCAGCTTTGTCTCTGATTGTGTAGATCTATTTATGATGTGATGTATGTGGCTAAGTGGGCCAACCTTTGAATCTCAAATATGTGAATGATAAATCCTTATCAAGTCCCTGCTGCATGTGATCTGAAGTGCTGTGACTAGGTTCTGGACTTTTT